TATTTTTGTGTAAGTAAATGGGTAAATTCAATTTTCATAAAATAAATATAACTGTGTAATTTTGTCTGATTTGTATTGTTTAAGAATATACGTAAAATTTTGACCTGCACAATTACTTTATTTAAATATGACAATTAAATCGAAAAAAATAGAGAAATTGTTAAAAATATTATTTTTAGTACTTTCCTGCTTGGTTTCCGTATGATAAACGAGAAAATTACCAAATTCCTTTTTACGGTAGCTATATTTGTTTCGTACTTAAATTCGTGACTTTTTCCCATTGAAATGAGCTTGCTTATAAACTCTAATTTCCAATCACAGTTGTATTTTCATTGTTTGCTCTTGTAAAGACCATTGGAGGTCGTGAATAATAATTACAAAATAAGTTAATATAGGCTGTACACGGCAAAGTGAGCACTTTTGAGGCCCTAGTTACTTTTTCCTTATCAGCCATTTTTATCCTTCCCCCACTTCTTAAAATAAATATTCCCATGTAAGTAATAAACATAGTATAACATTTCACAGGACGCAAAAGTTTACGTTTAAGGCTACAGTAAAACATATTTATTGACTATTATTCCAAATGAGTGCGAGTTCGAGCCAAACACAAACATTTACACACAGATATATAGAATTCCTTCATTTACCGCAAGCTTAGGCTAGGATTACAACAACTTAACTTTTAATTTAACACGTAAAGAATAACACGTGCGGCGGCTACCCTATGACTAATGTGTTTCAAGAAGACATCACGATCTTTCATATAACAATCACGTGGTGGAAAAGCTTGTCAATGTCTGTAGGCTGTTCATGGCAAAGTGAACACTTCTGAGGCCCTAGTTACTTTTTTCCTCTCAGCCATTTTTTATCCTTTAACCTAATTTTTAGAATAAACACTGCATTGTAAATAACAAACACAGTGTGCATATTCCACCACACTCAGAAGTTAACGTCTAAGGCTAAAATAAAATATATTTATTGAATATTATTATACCAAATGAGACGGCTTTCAAAAGTACTCACTTTACCATGAATAGCCTGTCTTATCCATGATACGTGACACTGCACCACGTGATCTTGCAAGGCCAATCACAATAGTGACGATGTTACGATATTTTGGCGTTTCATGGGGTTGATTTTATTTTCGCTTTGTCGTCTGCTCACGTTTTAAATTAATTTAGTTACCATGCCTCATATTAAATTCTCTCCCGCAAATAAGGACGAAAGAGTAATATTAGTTAGGCTAGGATTATTTTTGTTTGTTTTTAAATTCGTAAATACTTAGACAGCTTTAAACGCCATAGTTTAGTACTATAGGCTGTTCATGATAAAATGAGCACTTTTGACAGCCCTGCTTAAAATCTACTTGTATACACTTTGTGTATTCTTCTGGCTTATGTAAAATTAACATCGCCATGGGCCTCATCACTATATTGATGCGTCGGTCAAATGAAACTGTGAAATTATTAGGAAAGTAAATATTTTATAAATCTGCTATTTTCTACATTTCGATGTATTTAAAAAAATAGAAAGCGAAAGAAATAATTTAAACTATCACTTATAGTTACCGAACACCTTTTATTCGAGGTTAAGATATGGAACTACTTTCCATCCATTTTTACCAACTTTGCTCAGCGAATGTCACTTGGTGCAAACGTTAAAATATATGCAGGCAGGGGGAAGTGACATTTTTCTAGGGTTCATCTCAAAAGTGCTCACTTTATCATGAACAGTCTTTATTACTTGATATGTAAGGATGGCAAGACAATTTCAGGGGGTTACAAGACATGTGCAATATCCTGTAGTTCCGAGGGTGCAACTCAAATGAGCAATTTCCACTGGAAATAATATGGTACGGCCCTCCGAGCGTCTGCATTTTCCTTTATCAATGACGTAGCACCCACTGAGTTTCGACGTAAACGTATTTTCGCCCGCGCTGATAGTTGCGTCATATGTGACTAACGTGATACAGCACTTCATCGGGTTACTAGTTGTACTGTATTTTTTCCCGTCCCTTATGGAACTGCTGTCTAAATCACGTTGTACGTGACGTGGCAGCTAAAGACCTACGTGAGGAGACACATTACTAAACGCTGTTCACGATAAAATGAGCACTTTCGAAATTAACCTTTGAAAAATGTCACTGCCACTACCCGCATAATGTTTTAACGGGTACACTGACCAGCACACGATCAGTAGAAGTTGGTAACGACGGAGAGGAAAGCAGTTCCACGTCTTAACGCTGAATGAAAAGTGTTAGGTTAAATATTTATAAATACCGAAACGATTTATTTTGCTTTCAGATTTTTTAATGCATAATATGTGTAGAAATTTGTGGATACTAAAATATTTACTTTCTTAATAATTGTTAAGTTTACTTGGCCGACGCATGAATAAAAAGATCAGGCTCATGGCAATACTGATTTTACATGTGGTGGAAGAATACACGATGCGCATACAAATAGATCTTAAGCAGGGCTTTCAAAAGTGCTCAGTTTATCGTGAACAGACTTTACCTTGATTTGACAGCGTTCCATACCATCAAAAGGAGAGCGGTGGTCTGGCTACTCATGAACTTGATTGACTTTACTATAAATACCGACTCCCTTCCACTTATGTACGAAAATTTGTTGACAGACTGCGTAGAACGAGGTGGCTGGTGGTGAAAGAAACAACACTGAACAAATAATTCATTTGTAACAGTATGTAACCAGAGTAAGTACATGCGCACTTGAGCCTCTGTCCACTATTGTATTTCCTGCATCATACAGTCAAAATGCATGTTATAAACATAATAAAACGTATCATAGCTGGCCGCGCATCGGCTTACGGCACGGGGCATCCGGGCTCGAGTCACGGGAAAGACATGGGCGTTTGCTTGTGTACGTCCGACTGTGTTCTCCTGCGAGAGGCATACGTCCAACACTGACTGTAAAACGTCAACCACAACTCGTCAAATGTCAACTACGCTCTGTCAAACGGCCCAAATATTAATAGAAATAGCGTTGTGTGAGTTTACTAGCAAATGTTCCAGGTTCGAATCCCGACTAGAAGGTAGTTTTTTTCCTTTGTGTTAATGTAATTTTGCTATCTAAGGTCTTGTAAATGTTCTTTCGTGTCCGTTTTTTTTAAGAACATACGTAATATAGAAATATAATTGTATCCTTTCTGTATCTTCTAGTTACGCAACTTACACAAATTTTATATTCTAGGGGGCCTATATTCTTATTTCTATATTGTCCGATTCTCTGAATACTAGAGCGACAAAAAATTATTTACTTACGTATATATCGTTTCGGATTATTCAAAGCAATCTTCATACAGAGCACCACTGAGAGACATCTATACGGAGCATCGCTCACATAAGTATGGCATAGCAATGTATCACAAAAAGGGGGGTGGGGATGAGTGAAATATACAAATATAGATACTGTACATAATGTAAAAACTTTGGATGGTAACTGAAAACAAGGGAGTTCCAGAATAAAAGGAGATTCGGAGGCGAAAGTCGAGCATGAAACTCCGATATAATAGGTGGACCAAGCGAAAGCCGTGGTAATGGAATTATATCATTTGTAACAGGTAGGATCAAAAAAGCAGGTTTATATGGTGTTAATTCGTATAAGATCACTCGTATAATGCACACAAAGAGGCCTAATGATTGTAAGTATTTTTGGAAAGGTGCCATGCCTAAACGATTCCCACAGCAGCGTAGTCAAAGACATAATTTTAAAACTTATGGTAAAAAAACTATGTTCTCTATATCCAGTGTTCTTATCAAAAACAATACTATAGAAACCTGCTTATTTGATTCTACGTTTCATAAATGAAATAAATTAATTGCCACAGTATTCGTATGGTCCTCCCTTTGGAAAACCTGCCCCTTTTCCACCCCCAGTGGGTATCAAGGTGGACTACCGCATCGCCTCCCTTTTACTCTAGAATGCTCTTGCTGTGGTCATTACAGTTACCATACAATGTTATTCTATCGCTTGAAGTAGCTATGTTCGAATGTTTCACATCTCTCCACCTTTTGAAGTAGATTCCTATGCCATACTGATGTGAATGGTTCCCTTCATAGTTTAAAAGAACGTATACGACGATATTATTTCAATTAACACGAAGTAAAAATTAAAGTCCTATCCAGGGCTCGAACCTGGAATCTCTGAGGATTTTCAATATCGGGCAAAGCTCTTGAATTTTAATTGAGCAACTAGGACTCGACAGAAAATAGCAATTCTTTGATAGTAAGCTTCCGCTGAATAAACTTTACTCTCTCTCTCTCTTTCTCTCTCTCTCTCTCTGTCTCTCTCTTCCTCCTCCTCCTTGGCTTAAGAAAGCCATAATAGCATTTTAAAATGGAATTTACCTGATCTTTTGTTTGGAAAACTGTCCTCGAGTAAGTGTTTTCTTTGTAGGAACATTGCACAAAGTAATAGTATTTTCATTTTATCTATATTAAAATATTTACTTCTTTTTTTTTTTTTTTTTTTTTTTTTTTGTGGTTGGATCGTGAATTGATGTTGGAGTAATATTTTGACACAATGGACAGGCATTTTGCAAGTGTTTGCTGTTATCTTAATTTTTCCTCAGTTATATTGTTTTCCTTTTCGTCATTGGTGCTATACTATACTGTACTGAAAAATAAATCATCCTCAAAAACTGTTTTTGTTGCTTCCACGAAATATTCACAAACTCCCTCCCTACTGTAGAAAGATACTTTCCGAAATTCGCCTGGATTAATATTAGAAAACTATGGAAAAGCGAAATTAGCATACCTGATTTGGACTCGAATCAAAACATTAGACATATCAGAAGCAAATAATAAATATATCAGATAACTTTTTTGTAAGGCGCGCAATTGGAAGTGGAAGATAGAAAGTGTAAATGTTTCATTTAATCTAATAAATATTCTTGGAAAAATTGATACGAAAAAAGAACGTTTAAAAGAACATATTTTTCAACAAAAATACTTTAAATTAACACGAAATAAAAAATAACGTCCTAGCCAGGGCTCGAACCTGGAACCTCTGCGATATTCTTGTGTCATGCAACGCTCTTTCCATTTGAGCTACTAGGACTTATCTCTTAACGTACGTTAATACATACATAATTATGGTACATTCTTACAATGTCTTTCTCCGTGGCTAAAAAAGTCATGATAGCACTTTAAAATTGTATTAACCTAATCGTTCGTTCGGAAAGCTGTCCTTGTGCAAGTGTTTTTATTTTTCTCTCTCTCTCTCTCTCTTTCTCTCTCTCTCTCTTTGCCAACCCTGCACTTGGCATCGCGACATTTTCATTCCTTTCTCCTAACCACTCCAAAACCCCTTTTAGATATGATGGTACTTGATTTGAGTCGTGTTGGGAATGGAGCGGAGAAGCTGGGCATGTTTGAAATTTTTAATTTTGATGTGAGACAATGTAGTATAAAATGAAGTCCGTTTTTATTTGTGTAGTGTAAAACTGCACCATTCAAAGCAAATATTTAGTGCACAGTTCAGTGTTCTTCAATACAGATTAGAATTCACAGTCAAATAGTCTATTTTTTTTCTGAAGTTAACGTGCGTGTCCTTCGCAGAGAGGCCGTGAGTTTGATCTTGATAAAACCAGGTTTTCCGACTTCATTCCTGGGCAATTCCACTCCTTCAGGAAGATTAAACATGAGGTGGCCATGTCTTTGGTTGTACAAGTGGGCGTCTTTTTTTTTTTGCAATGATTTAGTGAAAAGGGGGCGGGGAGGGGGGAATTGACGATGAAGCTTGTTTTCTGTCTACCGACACGTTGTGATGCCCAAAACACTGTAGTTCTGTCTGTAGAGGTTACGATATAACTATTATCTTTCTTATCTTTACAGCACAGTAAACATTTTTTATTGGATTTATTTTATTAATAGGTCTACTATGCGCTTTTCTTCATATTTTTTTATTCACATTTAACATCCCCCCACCCCCCTTTTATTTCCCTTAAAGTTGGTAATTTTTCACTGCTGTTCTCAACATCAGCACTTCGATACCAGAAATGACTTGTCTCTTCACACTTCCCGGAATCACAAAACAAACGTTTCAGTTTTGTTGGCAAGTTTAAACAGAAGCCAAATACTAGGTGACAAGTAAGAAAAAATTCCGGGGAAGAAATTCATGTACCTCCACTTATTTGTCAGTAATATCTGCATTATTCCTGCAGCCTTCACTGTATCATAGCACCCTCCGATAAAACATTCCATGAGCCGCCTCAGGATTTACTTTATTATCAATGAAACACTTTTTAGTAAATGCCTTTACCGTAGCTTTCACTTTATATTTTGTATTAATACGCTTTTTTTCGTTCGTTTTTAACAACCAATTGTGAATATTGCAGAAGAATTTCAGCCTTTCTTATTGTTGTCTTAAACTTTTATATTTTTGAGCTGCGAGTTTTGAATTTCTGTTCGGAGTTGGACTTTACAACTCCTTCCCTGTTAACGTGAGGGGGCCGCGGTGTAGTAGTGTTCAGACTGCTCGCCTCCCACCTAGGCGTACCGGGCTCGATTCCCGGCGGGGTCACTCCCGAATTTTTCGCTCGTGGGAATCGTGCCGGACGATGCCGCTTGTCGCAGGGTTTTCTCGGGGATATCCTGCTTCCCCCGTCCTTGCATTTTGGAACTGCTACATACTCACCTCACTTCACCATTATCGGCTCTCGTGACTTCGCTGCTAAGAGCTGCCCAAATCTCTCCACTACAGTACACTCCACCCCCGCTGACGTCAGCAGTTGTCTGACTGCCACTTGCTGTCACCTGAAGCCTGTGAGTGTTTGGCTGCGTCAGTCTGGTGTAGAAACTTATCTTATTATCCGCCCACAACAGAACAGAACAGATCATATTAAAATTGCACCAGCACCCAGCCGAAGGCCATAACTAGTCTCAGTTGCTTGAATTAAGAATTAATTTATAAAATGGTTGAAACATAAAATTTGTCGCGTTATAACATTAAAAAAACAAGATAAATTTTAAAACAGAGACCTAAAATTATTTTGTTAAAATCTAGAAGAAAAAGTTAAGTTATAATTTAAAAAGATCAAAAGTTAAAATTCCTCTGCCTCCACCCTGAAAAACCCTCGCCCCATCATCCTCTCCGGAGACAGAGGGGCCGTCGTTTGTCGTTTTGTGAGGTGTCTGTCTTGTGTATGATGTATTGTGTCTTGTGTCGTTGTTGTGTTGGTGACAGTGTAATGTTGTTTATGTATGTGTTGTATAGTGTAAGTGCTGTTTCTTCAGTTTATTTGTTCTTGCGTATATCTGTATTTTTGATGTCTGTGTGTGGGTAGTTCGACATCAATATACTGAATATTATTGTTTGTATTGATACGTGATGTATTATTTGTGTGGGTTCGTTTGTCCACCCAGAGTCCTTCATAATGGGTCAAATGTAAATGAAATGAGAGAATTGAGAGGGTTTCGCCAGCGCTCAAGGCGGATTGATTCCTGCCGGCTTGGATTTATAGTCCCCCCCCTCCCCAAAACGAAAACCAGGTTGGGTCCGCGGCTCACAGTGGACCCAAAACCCCAAAACGTGGCCAAAAGTCACAAAAGTAATTTTTGTTTTAGAAAGATGTTAGACCTCTAACGGCGAAGACAAATGTCCAGTGTGAACAAAATCACCTTGATGCACTTGTAAAGGTGTATATATTGTTCGAAATTCGAACCTAAAATAGACACTTGCTCTGACTCACTGTACGAACCCGTAAAGTGTCGCTGAGTACGACGGGCCGTCACTTGATGAATAAGACTCAGTTTACGATTACAACCAGACGTACTTAATCCTCGTTCGTTATTCGTCACACGTTAATGTCCAAAACTTTATCGTAATATACGTTTTGATATCATTGGATGTATTTCAAAACATGTGCTTTTTATAAGCATTTGGAAAAGTTGGACGAGGCCTATAAAAATTCCTCGCTATATCCCGCGTTCTTCCCTTTTTTTAACGTAAAGCGTACTTCTTTGGCTACGTGTGTCAAAAAATTACATGCCACTTCTTGCTACCTTGCGAAATAGAGTGGATCTAGCAGGGAACTGCGCACGACTGACTACGTTTAGATCGGACGCGCGCGCTGCAATCTGCTGAAAAGGCAACGAAGGTAGAGTTATCTGTGGGTACCTGCATCGGCAGGTTGTTTATCACAGACTTTCCAGTGCTCCCTCAGCAACAGTTCAAAATGAGAATTCACCCAAGTCGTGATTAGTCGCTGTGTGTAGTAGCAGTAAAGGCGTTCTGTTTTTGTGGTTTGGTATGCGGATTACGAAGATGTCATTTACAATAGCACATCGACCGTTGTATCGGTTGATGAAGTAGAAAAATTCAAACCGTGGAAATATCGTTTCGAACATATCGACGGTGTCATTAAACGTGCCTTCCGTCAAGATATGTCGGAGAAATGATTGGATGGCTGTAAAATTAGATTGACGCAAAAAAATACGCTGCTGTCAAGAAAAGGTGGGATGACTCGTGCATGATCGAAGCAAAGTTTTGCAAGAAATACCTCACCTGGCTTGACACACCTGTTACATTTGCGATTCCAGACAAATAAACCGCAAGAACGAATGACACTGGCAAGTAACCAAATACCATCTTAATGATTACAAGACTGTCATATTATTTCTATTTATTTCTGACACTCTATTAATTTTATGATTTGCAGTAATTGGTAGACCTGAGAGAGAGAGAGGAGAGAGGAGAGAGAGAGAGAGAGAGAGAGAGAGAGAGAGAGAGAGAGAGAGAGAGAGAGAGAGAGAGAGAGAGAGAGAGAGAGAGAGAGAGAGTTCGCCTCTTCATCGGAAAGGATTAAAAGGCGGAAAGTGCAAGAATTACAAGAGCGTGCACCTCCGGAGGTCCTAGTTTGTGCAGCGCAAATGAGCCTTCGATCAGCTGGAAAACTCGAAGAGTCCAAAGTTATAAGTGAAGCAGTTTTTACAACACCAACTCGCGCGGGCAAAATCAATGAGCCTTACAGACAGCATCATTTAAATACCTCAACACCGTACACTCCATGTGAAGCACTATCAGTTATGCTAGAGGCTGACTTTTCTAGAGAGATTTATTAAACATTACGAATGGAGGCAAAGTCTAGAGGAGCAAAACGATACCCATCATACACTAAAGTTCGTAACGCAAAACGAAGAGTGTTATCCGTCAGAAGAAAGTGTGACTATCACCGAATCGAAAGTGGAAATCATATTGCAGGCTCTCTTAGATCTGATAGTGAAACGAATAATCGAACTGCAAGAAAATGTTTTACTGACTCTTCCTTTTGACGAACGTGAAAACCTAATTTTACTTTCAAAATGGGGTTGTGACGGTAGAAGTGGACATGCAACTTACAAACAAAGAAGTAACTAGGAAGTGATCTTTTGATATGAGTGTTAATGACATGCTTAGTGCCTCTGCAAATGTAAGGATTAATTCCAGATATTGGGAAAAAATTAATCGTGTGGCAAATTCCGCGGCCATCAGCTACTCGTTATTGTAGGTCAATAAAGCTATAGTTAGCGGCTGAAACTACCGCTAAAATTATAGCAGAAAAGAAATGTATGCATGTACAAATCGCAGAATTTCGACACATGGTTCTGGAAAACGCAGCTACATCTCACTTGAAGGTGCATCACTAGTTAGCGATGATGATGATTGACGGGAAGGCTTGTAATGCATTGATGGAAACAACCTCAGCTGAGTGTAGCAATGTGTACGGTGCGACCCCTAAAAATCTTAACAATATAGATTTGGTTGTGAAGAGGTCAATTGATGAAAGTGTTAGTCAATATGGCCTATCAACGTTGCATGCATATGCACGCTTTTTATAATGGTTCCTGTATGTCGTATGGACTGCGATTTAAATCGCGATATATAACGAAAGAGCTGAAAGCACAAATTGAAGCAAGACAGTCGAAAATCCAAGACTTGTTCAAAAGTGAAATATGAATTTTGATTGGCGTTGTTCATCGAGGAAAGGGAACAATACACGACGGAAATACTGCTCGCTGTTTTTTGCATACGCCCAGCAGTCCGCAGAAATCACCGTTGTCAACGAAGAACTTATTACA